CTGTGATTTGTTGACGGTTTCCTGTGATTTGTTGACGATTACCTGTGATTTGTTGACGGTTACCTAAAATTTGTTGACGGTTTCCTGTGATTTTTTGACGGTTTCCTGTGATTTGTTGACGGTTTCCTGTGACGGCTAATTGTGGTATGTGGGTAGATATCGTGTTTTGGGCTTGATACTGTAGTAGTGTGAAGGGTTCTGATGTCGAGGTCTCCGCCAGGTAAATGTGATATGCACTGCACTTTGCACAGGTATGTTCGAGTGTGCATAACAGTGTATTAAGAGCTGATCAATCGGTGGCTTCAGACATCCGAGAACGACCCATCTAAAGAGGCTAAAAGTGTTTGATATAAATATTGGCTATATGAAATATGAAAGTTATTCGATCCTCGCACGAGTTGTGGTGATTAAACCAAACTTGTTTCAAAGTCTGTGCAGGCGCGACAAAACAAATGCAAACAGTTAAATTGATATCCATGTATGCTGTTAAGATTAAATTATATTTGATGGAATTTCCTAAAGATTACACCAGCTATCTGGGCTGAAATACTTGATATTCATATCAATCTCAAAGCGTATAAGTAACTTAAATGCACACATGTTGAGTGGGAACTTGTATTTATTTAGCGTTAACTCTGATGTGCGACCTTTGTTGGCCCCGCCATAATTCCAACGTTATCGTAAGCGAAAAATCAATCGGCTCTCATTGAATACAAGTACCAGAGGGTAGACACAAGAGCCGGACAGTAGATATAAGAGGGTGGACTGTAAATACGAAGGTTGGGCCGTAGATACAGGGGTCAGGCGGAAGATATAGGGCCCAAGCTGTATGTACAAGGGCCGGACAGTAGATACAAGGGCCAGGCGGTAGATATAAGGGGAGGACTGTAGATACGAAGGTCGGGCGGTAGATAAAGGGGCCAGGCGGTAGATATAGGGGCCATGCTATAGTTACGAGGGTTGATTCAAGGGCAAGGCAACATCGTCACTTCCACCATTCATGTAAGTTGGTGACCAAAACCCTGTAGTTTGTGATCCATACCCCGAGTCGGTGAATCAAACCCGGTAGCTGGAGACTTAAACCCGGTAGTTTGTGATCCATACCCCGAGGCGGTGAATCAAACCCGGTAGCTGGTGACTTAAACCCGGTAGTTTGTGATCCATACCCCGAGACGGTGAATCAAAGACGGTAGATAGTAACTCAAACCCGGTAGTTTGTTAATCAAACCCAGAAAGTAGTTACTTCAATAAGTAATGGGTAAATTAAACAGTGTAGTAAGTAACTCCAAACCCAGAATCATTTAAACCTTGTAGTTGTGACAAACCCGTTAGCAGGTAGTTGGTAACCGACTCCTGTAGTTGATGACCGACACCTTTAGTTGGTGACTGACACCTGTAGTTGGTGATCGACTCATGTATTCAGTGACTGACACCTTTAGTTGGTGATCGATACATGTAGTTGGTGACTGACAGATGTAGTTGGTCACCGACACCTTTAGTTGGTGACCGACACTTGTAGTTTGTGACTGACACTTGTAGTTGGTGATCGATACATGTAGTTGGTGAGCGACACCTGTAGTTGGTGACCGACTCCTCTTGTTGGTGACCGACACTTGTAATTGGTGACCGACACCTGTAGTTGGTGATCGATACATGTAGTTGGCGACCGACACTTGTAGTTGGTGACCGTCACTTGTAGTTGGTGATCGACACATGTAGTTGGTGACCGACACTTGTAGTTCGTGACCGACACCTGTAGTTAGTGACCGACTCCTGTAGTTGGTGACCGACACCTGTAGTTAGTGACCGACACTTGTAGTTGGTGACCGATACCTGTAGTTGGTGACCGACACCTGTAGCTGGTGACCGACCCCTGTAGTTTGTGACCGACACCTGTAGTGTGTGACCGACACCTGTTGTTTTTTGACCGACACCTGTAGTTGGTGACCGACACATGTAGTTGGGGATCGATACATGTAGTTGGTGACCGACACCTGTAGTTGGTGACCGACTCCTGTAGTTGGTGACCGACACTTATAATTGGTGACCGACACCTGTAGTTGGTGACCGACACTTGTAGTTGGTGACCAACACCTGTAGTTGATGACCGACACCTGTAGCTGGTGACCGACACCTGTAGTTTGTGACCGACACCTGTAGTGTGTGACCGACACCTGTTGTTTTTTGACCGACACCTGTAGTTAGTGACCGACTCCTGTAGTTGGTGACCGACTCCTGTAGTTGGTGACCGACTTTTATAGTTGATGACCGACACCTTTAGTTGGTGACCGACTTTTATAGTTGATGACCGACACCTGTAGTTGATGACCGACTCCTGTAGTTGGTGACCGGCACCTATAGTTTGTGACCGACACCTGTAGTGTGTGACCGACACCTGTTGTTTTTTGACCGACACCTGTAGTTGGTGACCGACTCCTGTAGTTGGTGACCGACTCCTGTAGTTTGTGACCGACACCTGTAGTTGGTGACCGACACTTGTTGTTTTTTGACCGACACCTGTAGTTTGTGGCCGACACCTGTTGTTTTTTGACCGACACCTGTAGTTTGTGACCGACACCTGTTGTTTTTTGACCGACACCTGTAGTTTGTGACCGACACCTGTAGTTTTTGACCGACACCTGTAGTTTGTGACCGACACATATAGATTGTGACCGACACCTGTAGTTCGTAACCGACACCTGTAGTTCGTGACCGAAACCTGTAGTGTGGGACCGACACCTGTTGTTTTTTTGACCGACACCTGTAGTTTGTGACCGACACCTGTTGTTTTTTGACCGACACCTGTAGTTTGTGACCGATCTCTGTTGTTTTTTGACCGACACCTGTTGTTTTTTGACCGACACCTGTAGTTGGTGACCGACACCTTTAGTTGATGACCGACACCTGTAGAACCTTGATGGTTCGAACGCTGTGCTCTACAATCGGCGCTTGATGACTTGGGGCACACCTTGAGCAATTTATTCAAACAAGAATACAGTTCTGTCATATATGTTTTTAAAGTGTCACCAGTTAAACACAATGTCATTTTGTACCGTTCTGACGTTTCAAGAATTTCCCTATCAACCGTTTACGAAAAATGTGTCATGGGGCGATTTTGAAAACGGTGCACATGATCTGTACGATTTAACCACTCAAACCTCGCATCCGTTGATTTTCTGTGACTACCCCTAGGATGAGTATTAATTTTCAAACATGTTTTCACGACATTTTATTCTTAAATTAGGATTGTTGACAACATTATCGACCGAACGGGCTTGTTTCTATGACTTGCCGTCGCGACGCCATGTGGTCAGCGCATGAGTATATAATGGAACAGTATGGTGTGTCAGCTTATATGATTACGAGAAAGTTTTAAAGTTTTAAGTTTGCAATGTGAGGGGTAATTCGGCAATGTCTGAAAATTGAATAATACAAAGCGGCAAAAACGTTTGTTTCGCGTCTTTGACCCTTGTCATGGTAGTAGGTGAATCAGTCGTTGGTGAGTCACTAAATGGTGTCTCAACCTACAGTAATAATAGTTGGTGACTGAGGTCAACTTCTAATTCAGAAAAAGTAGTTTGTCACTTAAACCCAATAATTTGACTCAAACATCAGCACATATGACGAATAGTTGATAACTTACGCCGACACAATAAGTTAGAAAAGTGTGATTATTACGTATCAGAGGTTGATGACTCCAGGACTCAAACTCTGCAGTAAATTACTCAAACACGGTAGTCGATTATTCAACTCAATAGTTGGTGTCTCGGACTTAGTTAATAACTCAAAACTTACTGCTAGTAGTTGGTGACTCAATTCAGTAAGTGAGTACTCGAACTCAACAGCCGATGACTCAAACTATAGTTAAGTCAAAATTGACGGCCAACGACTCAAAGAGTGTAGTTGGTAAATTGAAATCAGTAACTTATAACTAGACTCAGAACTTAGTAACTCATATTTGGTTGTTAATTAATTAGAGACAGAGCCGATAAACGATGATTCAAACTCAGGAAGTTGATTATTTTGATCCAGTCACTGATAACGCGCAGAAAGCATGTCAGATATCAATCACATATCAACTAGAATCAGGATGTCGTTTACATCTAAACCAGAGGATGACCGGGGGTCAGGAATAGGAGAGGTAAATCTCATCCGTCAGGTTCTACTAACAAAGGCCGCGGTAACAGTGTTCGTACAGGAGCGACACACACCGTTAAACGCCAATATAATTACAGGTGTCGGATCAGGGGCCCCCTCGCCAAGCGATATCGGATGAGCACCGGGCCGGGATCCTGTGTGGCCCTGGGTACGGTCGACTGCGCCCTAAAAGGGACAGGCTATCACCTTACACTATAACAGTGTCGAAGCAGACTTGCACCCTACGCCACACATATACGGGTCCAGGCTGCTGTGTGACGTCAGATAAACAGGCTGATTTTTTTTTTATTCAACACCAAGTGGTAGATTGATCGCCTACTAGGATTTTTTGTTACTGTTTAAACCCGTACCATTTGTTCAATAACAACAATCTTAGATCGATCAGAATAGTTATTTTCTTTTAAATTTGTATCACATAAACATCCTATACATTAATCTGTAGTAAGCTACCAGGAATGGTGATTTTGTAACTAATGACTTTTCTCTGCAAATAATATATCTACAGTTCGCATTTGAATACCAAGATTTAAAATTAACAGTCCGGCGGTATACCGACGCTGGTTATTCGCGGATGTAGATTACAGAACATTTCCTCTGACCCTTAATTTACGTTTCCTTGTCCCCAGCTTGTTCATCAGCAGTCAGTCTGTCCCACTTAAGATAGGGGTTTCCCGTGTACACTTCCCAATGACGTCACTTGCAGGTTACCTGATGTGTCCTGACGTCACCCGCTATATCTGGGATGTCGAGTGGTCACAGAGAGATAAGATAGCGACATCATACAGACACAATGATAGCCCCAATGACCCTTTGTTGGTCCGTAAATAAACGCAATACATGTATCAATTTATCAAAAGAATTTAATGCATAAATCATTATGTACAAAATATTTACATACAACTGTAAATGTTATACAGAAACATTGCATAAAGAGTTCTTATACCATTGATATTCTAAAATAAACAACCATCTGGGTTTTTTTACCTATTGCAAAGTGTTACCCATTTAAGGATCGACCCATCAATGTGGCTCGGGAACATGGCATATTACGGTACGACCCGGCAATGTGGCCTTTTATAGGCCGACTTGGTATTGTGGCCTATTACACGTCGCCTGGCATTGTGGCCAAGACAAAAGTCCTACCACGAGTCGACCCGGCTATGTGGCATAGGCACATATATAAACTACTATGGGTCGACCTGGCAATGTGGCCAAGACAAAAGTCCTACCACAAGTCGACCTGGTAATGTGGCTTAGACGCATGGCCTACTATGGGTCGACCTGGCAATGTGGTCTAGACAAAAGTCCTACCACAAGTCGACCTGGTAATGTGGCCTAGACACTGGCATACATTAAAACATTCTTTCTTAAATAACAATATAAAAAGTACTTTGGTCAAAGGCACAGCGTGAGAAATAGAGACAATTTATCAAAGTCCGTTCATCTATGAAATAAAATAGTTCTAAAACTAAAACACTATAGTAATCGTATCGTTGGTGAGTATATGTAGTTATAAATAACAATGCAAAAATGATTTTCTGAAGAAGGCACCGAGTGCTAGAGACTTCGCCATCTTGTAGCACGTGATAGGTAAGCACCAATCATGTAAATTAACATGGAAGGATGACGAAAACAACAAAATATTAAGACGTCACATGTCAACACCGGTTACAAATGCTTCCATCAGAACGGGACTTTGGTTGGATACGTCATACAATGAGTATATAAGACGAGGACACAGACCTCTCACAAACATACATACTTCTCTTTGAGACCATCAAATAGAAAATAAATAGAGACATATAATAAAAACCTATTTGTAGAATATTTGTTGTGTAATGTAAACCCAGAGGAAATGAACCACTCTGTCCTACTTTCACTTTGGTCATGGTGTAGGTTAGTTGTACACTTAGCGTACCACAGTAGTTATCAGACACCTGTATAGTATTTCTGTCTAGTCGGTAGCAGAAAGTTTATTGTGTATGTCCCCAATAGGAATTGGTATAAAGCTTTGTTCTGCACGAGATCACAAGGTCACGCCACATATATCCAGTTCAGACACGTCGAGCGAGTAATGTCCAAACCAAGGTGAATGTGCTGCACATCCCAGTGACGTCAGGAGTTACGTGAACCGGTTCCATGTCTGATCAGTGGGGACGGCGGCGGGGATAGGGTTGAACATTTGGCGAGACACGCCCATGTATTGGTAGGGCTGCGCGGCGGTGCTGGCCGGAAGGAAACCATGCTGAGAAGAGAATTGGCTGCCGTGGTGGTTACTATCGTAGCGCGGGGGTGGGGAAATGTTGTAAGAGTCAAATTGTCCCTGTGAGGACGTCTGGGACTGGCGGGGGGCAGACCTGGCACCCAAAGGCTCTAGTTTGACGGTGGCCTGGTCGTCCTCACCAATGTACTTACAAGTCCCTGTACTTCCGGTCGTATTCGGTTGGTACGAGGGGCTGTGCATCGGTGGCGACTGAGATGAAGCGTTGGTCGCCGACTGTGGCGAGTGATTAGACAGATCGTACGGGGATGAAACGTCCGTATTTTGGGGCAGAGGGTAGGACGGCAGACACATGCCAGACGATGACACGCGATAGTTTGATGTCCAGGAGGACGAGGTGGTAGTGGAGGCGGAAGCTGCCCCATAACAGGAAGTGTATTGTTCTGGCGCATGCGTACCAGGCATGTGAGATGCTGTTGTTGGTAAATATTGATCCAATTCATGGTCGTCAAAGTTGTCGATGGGAAGGACCATTTCTGAAGGATATGTATGCAAATCCACATTCCGGAAGTCGATCGGATGTCCTGTCAAATAAAAAGCCACGTATTACATTTCTTTACAAATGCAGAATAAACAGAATTCTATTTCTTAAACACACATTAAGCAATCTTTAATGACAAATTGTTTGGAAACATGATATAGCCCGACTGACAGTCATTGTTACCAGCTCCAGCTAATGGGCCCGATTTGACCTCCACCGGGATCATGCGCTAACAGTAAAAAATAGGGTTAATAAAAATCCGAAAACCTGTGTTTGTGTGTGAATTGATAGTGGAGAATATTGGCGAGGTAGACCGCTATCTGGTCACTGTATCTGCGTGGTGTATAACACTCGACCATAGATACAGATCTCCAGATATTATACTACAAGCGGTCACGTAAGGAGACAAATGGTTAAGCACGTGTATCCTCTCCGGTATCTGGGCGGATTAGAGACCACAGAAAGGTGCGGGCTCACCTTTGTGTAGGTAAGCTGGTAGCTTCCACGGGAATTCAAAACGGATCAGAATTCTTATAATGAAATGAGTTTAACCTAATTCCCTGTATAATTAGTTTATATGTGATGGGCCTTATAATGAGTGTATTTGGCGTAACCATTTGAGGAACTGACTGGGTTGTGACGTACCTGGCATGTGAGGACGGTGACGTAGACGGTCTGGCATGCACTTGAGTGTGATGAGGTCGTGCTGATTGGGTGTGGTGGGAGGAGTAGGCGGTCCGTTCGGGTTATGGTTGGAACAGTCACTACCCGAGTCTCCGTCACTGATGGTGGAAGGGGAGCGTTCATTTAGACCTTTGAATATGAGCCCAGGGGGAACCTGTCCCCCGTCCGTCTGTCCTCCACTAGCACTTTTCAGGGGCTTCCTGCGTCTCGGCTGGTACTTATAGTCTGGGTAATCCTTCTTGTGCTGAACCCGAAGGCGCTCTGCCTCGTCCACGAATGGACGCTTCTCCTCCTCATTCAGAAGCCTGTGGAAGACAGAAAAGTGAGAGAAGAATTAGACAACTAATTTTTCACATGGATGATTCTTAAGGAACGAATGGTATCTGACGTCGCAAATAGTTTGAGTTTTTTTGTGTTTATACATCGATGAGAGTGGCGAATTCTTGAGTTGTGTATACATCCGCGCAAAAATCAGGGGGTCCAAATTTTCAGGGAGGGTTTACATGTGGGGGAAATTTTAGGAAAATGGTGAAAATACATCATTTTTAAAGAAAATTTTCAGGCTGGGGGGGAGGGGGGCCTGAAGCCCAAAAAATCCCTCTGGATCCGCCTCTGAATGTTTTGTGTGCTGTTGCATTTATTAATACCTACACGCGTTATGTTTACATGTATTTATCTGTATGTATTGTATTTTCTGTAAAATATATTGACGACAATCGCGTAAAAAAAGGCTGACAAATTGTCGTGAAGGACGAAATAATGACGTCACGTTACCTTTCCGTAAAATCTCGCTAACATATTCAATATTAGGTCAGTGTATAAAAGCATCCATTTAACATCTTTTAATGTCACCATGTGAAATACGGAATCTTGCAGTGCTTGGCCTAAAAATTGGCTTTATCATTGTAGGAAGACGTCGAGGTATGAAATAATTCGAACATACTGTTTTCGCAGCACAAACGAATACACAAGTAACTCCGCGGTAATACAGGAAAAGAACACACTTTATTTCGTAGAAGTTTATTTTCATAATGATCGACATGTAGAGATTTTGATCCGGACATGTCGCCTCAGAGCCTCGTGGTTTAACTGGATCTGTAGTAGTGTAACTTTAATATCTTGCTTTTATAATTACTTCGGCTGGTGCTTGTTTACCGGTCTGAATATGATCCCGAGTGATACCTGGGTATAAGACCTGAGCAGGTTTAATACATGAGGAGCGTGTGGACGGATATGTACGGGTCTCTACACACTTACACAGCTACGGTAACACTGGTTTCTAAACTACTTAAATTGTTTACAAACAATTAAAACAGTGATTTGGAGGTGTGCAGCCCAGTGGCAGACAGGTGTTTGGGTCCCGTAACTCTCTTTGTATGGGACAAATGACAGGCAATTTTCGGTTATTTTGACATATTAATTTATCTGCGTCCATTGTAGCTAGAGGTATCTGGAACATTTAACTCTCGTGTAAATAAATCCTGATTTCACTCTAACATGAAAGCACCGTTTTTACGAAACGTTACATTTCTTTAGGTGACGTGCTATCATGTTTGAACCTGCTGGTAAAGAGTTGTCATTTAACGGGATTTATGTTCATGAAATACCTCAAACCAATTATAATGAAATGAATTGCCTTCCATCACGAAATTAGCAAGTCAGCGAACGTCAGTCTAACACACCAGCAGCGCTACGAGTTTAAGATCGAAAACTTTGACTTGTGTAAAAAAACACAAAAAAAAACACAGATTATCTTTTTTCCTATATATCAATAGAAATAAATGTTAATAAAATATTAATGACATACCGTGCATGATGTACATGTACATACTAAGGAGTTAGGGAGACACCTGTACGTAATTAGGCAGTGCACGTACCTCACAAAGTTAGACAAGACAGTATATGGGACACATAACCTGACATTGTTAGGCAATATACGGAGACACCTACACGTACATTGTTAGGCAATATACGGAGACACCTACACGTACAGAGTTAGGCAATATACGAAGACACCTATCCGTACATAGTTAGGCAATATACGGAGACACCTATCCGTACATAGTTAGGCAATATACGAAGACACCTACCGTACATAGATAGGCAATATACGGATACACCTACACGTACAGAGTAAGGCAATATACGGATACACCTATCCGTACATAGTTAGGCAATATACGGAGACACCTATCCGTACATAGTTAGTCAATATACGAAGACACCTACCGTACATAGATAGGCAATATACGGAGACACCTATCCGTACATAGTCAATATACGAAGACACCTACCGTACATAGATAGGCAATATACGGAGACACCTATCCGTACATAGTTAGGCAATATACGGAGACACTTACACGTACATAGATAGGCAATATACGGAGACACCTATCCGTACATAGTTAGTCAATATACGGAGATACCTTCCGTACATAGATAGGCAATATACGGAGACACCTATCCGTACATAGTTAGTCAATATACGGAGATACCTACCGTACATAGATAGGCAATATACGGAGACACCTATCCGTACATAGTTAGTCAATATACGGAGATACCTACCGTACATAGATAGGCAATATACGGAGACACCTATCCGTACATAGTTAGTCAATATACGGAGATACCTACCGTACATAGATAGGCAATATACGGAGACACCTATCCGTACATAGTTAGGCAATATACGGAGATACCTACCGTACATAGATAGGCAATATACGGAGACACCTATCCGTACATAGTTAGTCAATATACGGTGATACCTACCGTACATATATAGGCAATATACGGAGACACCTACACGTACATAGTTGAGCAATATACGGAGACACCTATCCGTACATAGATAGGCAATATACGAAGACACCTATCCGTACAGAGTTAGGCAATATACGGAGACACCTATCCGTGCATAGTTAGGCAATGTACGGAGACACCTAAGGAAGTAGAAAGACACTTGGTTGTGAATTTATTTATATTGCATGTTCTTTCTGCAAAGCAAAAAATCCACAGATATATCGACGAGTGAACGATAAATGTGAAATAAGTTTCTAGATCTAGAGACATCTCTGATGTGAAAGATTCTATGAATAATTTAGTCGTTCAGCGATCACCTGTAAAGCGAGTGGTATGAATTATTGAATATTCCCCGGTTCTGAAATATGGTTTGACCTCTATACCTTGTCAGCTCAGACTTATGTAATGATTTGTCGTTTGGTAAACTCTAACAAACTCATCGATCGGTGTTCGTGTATCTACACCTCGCTGACAGGTGCCAAACGATGACGTCACTGCATATATTTTACGTATCGGGACAGTGACTTATGTCCTCTGTCAGATGACGGTACACCAATAATAGATACCATCCATCTCACATCGACCAGCAACCACGAGATGGGATGGAAAAGGCTCTCCAACCATTTCCCTTTATAAAATCCACGAGAAGAAAAAAAAGCAAATTCGATGACGGCGATCCGGAAAACACACAGTGCCACGAGGTCATTCAAAACTATTGTCTCAGTGACTGCCACAAAAAATTCAGTTTGATAAGAAGGCACAAACTTGTCCTATATGCCCTTTTCACTGTAAATGAACATGAATGGTCGTGCCGATAACAATAGTAGAGGGACCGAGTACGCCTCAGTATATGCTGTAGTGTGTGTGGTTTGTGGGCGCCCCAAGTATTGTGTGTACACACCAATTCTTACCCCGGATTCATTAACACCGAGTCCGTTTTTTCATACACAATATTTGCAATAGTTCTAAATTCTTTAACAGCAAAAGGTAAATATGGTGAAGGGTTTCACGGGTTAATGAGGTCGTTAGCGATCGTGAGCGTCAATCGTGTACCCGTCAACCTAGTGTGTACAGACTGCAGTATAACATTAGAATTAAAGCTTTATGAATGGAGGCGGACAGCTTTCCTTATCTGGGATAATACATGGTATAACGATGGTTCTGGACAAGAGTGACCATCGTTTCCATGTATACAATGAACGGTAAATAAAACGGGTACGATGGGCGAACAACGTTACCAGTAGTGACCAGACTACGGCCATATCTGGTCATTCCCATAATCTGAACAAGACGAGTGTGAACTATCTGTTTTCACGACAGCCCTGCCATCAATCTTTGACACTTACCGTGTCGATGATGTGATTGATAGTGTCTACAGGTGTAATGAACAAGTATTATATCTCAGCCCCTCGAGCGGCGGTCCCTATTGTGTCTCAGGCCCCTACTATAACCCTCGCCTCTACGAGTCTACCAGTCCAGTGCCGCAACAGATTCCTAGCCCCTTTTGCAATACCGTGCTTCGGACCCTTGTTTCTCGAGCCCCTCACCCGCCATAACCCGGATTCCTGCTGGACCTCGGTCCTCCGTCCCCACTGTATTTAGCCCCTCCCGGTCGCCCACTGCACCTCGCACCCCTCTCCAACTTACCGCGGTCCCCTAATTGACCCCGCTCCCCACTGTAGTTAGCCCCTCCCGGTCGCCCACTGCACCTCGCACCCCTCTCCAACTTACCGCGGTCCCCTAATTGACCCCGCTCCCCACTGTACCTCGGTCCCCCACTGTAGCTCGCACCCCTCCCCCACTATACCGCGGTCCCATCCTTGACCTTGGTCCCCACTGTACCTCGTACCCCTCCCCCACTATACCGCGGTCCCATCCTTGACCTTGGTCCCCACTGTACCTCGTACCCCTCCCCCAATGTACCGCGGTCCCCTTCTTGATCCCGGTCCCCATTGTACCTCGGTCTCCTACTTTACCCCGGGACTCGGGTAATAGGTATGGGATTGAGAGATAAAACTCCGTAATACTAAACTGAAGTTGTGTTTACATTTCCGTCCTCGGCATGCAATAAAGTTCCATCTACATAGAGCGCCGTAGTTCCCTTCTCCGAATTCTTATCTTATTTCTCTCACCAATTTATTGCTATTTTCGCAGATAAAAATTCATTTCTTTCTTTAGGAAAAAAAGGTTTATGCTGAAAAGCTAAGTGAGTTTTTTTCTGTTTTGCGTATAAGCGTAAACAATGCAGACGGTAACATTTATGTCGGTGGGACTTTGTCGAACAGTAACGAGGAAGGATATTTGGGCCAGTACCGTGACGTATGGTGTGACGTCTGTTAGCCGGCGTGAATCACACGACGGACCGAACTAATGGCAGACCTGGGGCGCTCAGACAGCCAGGACACCTGTCACTGGTTTGTGACGAGCTTGTTTCATGAATGAAAAATACCTGCTCTTCAGCAGAAAAAATATCTATCCGAAATAATCCAATGACAAT